TGAGAGGTGGAAGCCATGAGGGAAGGGGCTTTTGGGGGAAGCTACTACCCCTGCCCTGGGTAGGAAGCCCCAGGTCATGGGGGCCCAATCCAACTCCCTAAATTGTTCCCTCCCCAACCCTCCTAGACCCCACAGCTGGGCCCATTTGTGCCCTGTGACCTAGTTAAGTGGCAATGTGCTCTGCAGGCTGTTTGCATGGAGTTGCACCCATGGGGGTGAGAAGGTTACAGCCCTGGGGGCAGTAGGAAGAGTTGCCTTGATGCCAGGACTGCCCCCCATGGGCAGCAGAATTCAGCAGGTGGCAAGTTTGTCCACATAGACCAGAAAAGGGGTGCGGGGGTGGGGAGGAACACAGTAGCACAAGGTGCTGGAGGATGGCAACTTCGGCAGCTCACCTGTGAGGCATGGCCACGCATGAATGAAACAGGACTTGGGAAAAATAGGCTAAAGCTGCCTGGAGTGGTGCAACTTCAAACCTGCTTCAAAACTAGTTTTGGGTGTTCCTATGTGAACGGTCCAGGGCCTAAGTGCTCCATGAACGTGTTACAATGCCCTGAGACACTAAGTCAAGAGAGACCTGACAGAATCATCCACACAGAGAGCTGGAAGGGACCTCAGGAGGTCACCTAGTCCCACCCCCTGCTCAAAGCTGGGATCATCCCAGCTAGGCTAGGGACAGACATTACACATAAACCGGTTTAAGTTATCAGAAACTGGTTTAAACCTGTAACAAAACAGATGTTCAGTGCACATAATCCAGTTTGAAAATGGCTGAAACTGGTTTGAGATAAACCTGGTTGAAGGTAGTATCAGACATAGCTGAGTTGCCAACCCTCCAGGATTGCCCTGAAGTCTCCAGGAATTAGATGTACATCTTCAGGAGACTGCTGAAAGTCACCTGGGGTAGGGGGGAGAGGAATAAATGATAGGGCATTCATGACAATAAATATTATATTCAATTTATATAGGAGTCCAGTGAGTTTTTAAAATGTAATAGTAATGTGCACAGGCAGGCAAAGTTCTTTGAGCAGATGTCATATCTTTTATTAGACCAACTGAGTAGTTGGAAAAAAGTACAGGTTTCTCTCGCCATCCATCGTTTTGAGTATCCACACTTCAGAGAAGGGGGGGTACAGTTGGAAAATACCCCCCATGGCACCCCTGGCCCTGCTTGTGCCTCTCACTCCCCCTCCACAGCCCCCACAGCCTTGCTGGTGCCTCTCACCCCACACCCACAGCCCCTGCTCCCCCAGCCCTCCTGGTTTTGCCAACCACGGTTTTGCTACCCATGGGAACTTTCAGGAACCTAACCCTCATAGTTGGCAAGGGAAACCTGTAGATGCGATATCTTTTATTAGACCAAATACTCAGTTGGTCTAATAAAAGATATCACTAGGGTGGCCATCATAGAGGACTTGTCCTCTGTCCTCTATTTATATGAAACTGGATGCCGTTATGTTCGGTTTTGTATCAATAGACATCCAGTTTTGTATCAGTAGAGGACAGAGTAGCAGAAAACTGGAATGTCTTCAATGATGGCCACCCTATCACATGTACTCAAGGAACCTTGCCTGTCTGTGTCCTTAGACCAACCCGACTACGACCAGAAAACCACAGTAATGTGCATTTGCTTTCCTGAGGTAATGACTCATTAATGTCATTACATCATGTGATAAACCTCCCGTGGGATAGATCCAAACAAGAGTTGGCAACCCATAATCCCAGCCACCGCTTTGTATACCTGCGTCTTACAAGCCTCCAAGGATGGCGAGCCCAGCACCTCTCTGGGCAGCCTGTCCCAGCGCTTTCCTCCCCTCCCAGGTGAAAGAGTGTTTCCTAATATCCCACTCCAACTCCCCTCGCCGCAACTTGAACCCCTTGCTCCCTGTCCTGCCTTGTGCCCACTGAGGACACTCCAGCTTATGAATGCCACATGTCCCGGTGTCTGGGGGGGCACAGCGAGCTCCTGTACGTGGTGGTGGCGCTGTAGGTGGCAGCAGCAAGTGGGGTGCTCCTACAGGCCACCACAGCGCTGTTGGTGGCTGGAGGGGAGGATGGCAAGTGCCGACTGGTGGCCCGCAACCACCAGCAGACGCCACCGAGGCTGGAGTGCCTTCAGACGCCACGGGTGGTGTTAGCGGTGGCAGGGTGGCGAGCGGCAAGCGCCCGCAGGTGCTGCTGGCAGTTTCGATGGCGCCTTTTCGCAGGGGGTGCACCGCCATGCTCAGGGGTGCACGCAGGGTACGCGTCACCAACGCTGAGGCCTGTCCAGCTCCATCCCCTTTGCAACCCGCCTTCCCATTCCTCAGGTGTCTGAAGGGTAGAGACACAGCAAGGGGCAACAGTGGGAGCAAGGGAAGTTTTTAGGGAGGAGGAAAAAACTTTCCCACGCGGAGCCGAGGCCCCGAGCAGACTGCGCTCGGGGCGGCCGCAGGAGGCGGCGCCGGGCTCCGCCCCCTCCTCCTGCTCCAGTCCGGCGGCAGAGCGGGTTTATATAAGGCTCGGGGGTTTCCGCGTCCTGTGACTGCAGTCAGGTGGTTGCTCCTCTCCTGCCCTCCCTTCCCCTGGCGGGGCGGAGCGGCTGCGGCGAAGTTGCTACAAAGTTGCGGGGCGAGGAAGTTTGTGCCGGCGGGATGGCTGGCGCGGGCGGCGGCGGGCCGGGTGAGTGCCGCGAGCATCTCTTCAAGGTGCTGGTGATCGGGGAGCTGGGCGTGGGCAAGACCAGCATCATCAAGCGCTACGTGCACCAGCTCTTCTCCCAGCACTACCGCGCCACCATCGGCGTGGACTTCGCCCTCAAGGTGCTGCACTGGGACAGCAAGACTCTGGTGCGGCTGCAGCTCTGGGACATCGCAGGTAAGGGCCGGCGGCGCGGCTCCCCCTGCGCCTCTCGGGGACCGGCCCCCTGCTGGCCTCCGCACCCTCCTGGAGCCGCAGGGTGGCCGTCCCACGGGACACTCCAGTTGTCTGCTACTCCCTTGATACGAAACCCCGTGCCTCTGTGTCCTCTGGTCTTTCTCTTTGAGAGAAAACGGGCAAATCTCTTTCAAGAGAAAAAGAGAACATCAAGGCACCAGTATTCGTATCGATAGAGGACAGAGTAGCGGACAACTGGAGTATCCTCTGTGAAGAGATTTAGCCATTTTCTCTCAAAGGGGAAAAACAGAGGCCAGATAGGCACCTGGTTTTGTATCTATAGAGAACAATCGGGCTGGCCTCTACAGCGGCTGCCCTAGCGGTGATCCTGTCTCTCCCATTCCTCCGGTGTCTGAAGGGAAGGGGGTTGTGGGGTGGGACAGAACAAGGAGTAATGGTCTCCTGTTGCAGCCAGGGAAGTTTTTTAGCTAGGAGGGAAAACTTTCCCATGAGGAGGGGAGTGAAGTGCTGGAGCAGGCAACCCACAGAGGTGGTGGAGTCCCTGAAAAGCATGCGCACGTGGGCAGGCAGCCTCTACCACTGAAAAGCAGTTGCTCGACTTCTTGTTTCTTTTGAAAACCTAAAGCAGGTCATGCTGCCACCTTTCTTGGGTGTGGGCCGTTTGCTTCAGGCTTTAACATATCCTTGCTTGTTTTGGTTTGGTTAGGAACTGTCTAAGAGCTGGGCTCCAAAAAGAAATTACTTCCACCACCCAGCCTTCTCATGAGGACAAGGCAAAGTAGCTTATGCTGTTAATAACTCCTTTCAGTATGGCAGTAACTGAACTGCAAAGCTGTTGTCACCTTGCTTTAACCCACACAAAGTTGTTTGTTCAAAAATGGGTAAATCTGGCTCTTCTGCATCTGGCCAGTTTTAGGCTGACTTGTAATGCTCAGAAAAAGCTACCACCAAAGATCACTTGGCTTGGATCAGGCATGCCCACACTACCTTATCTGGGCCTGCCTTTATGTGAAGGGCAAATTTGGTCTTTCTGCAACTTCTGGTGACGCAATAAGCATTGCTTCATGCTTAAGGTGGTTTGTTTTTGGTTGGGTTTTTTTTTTAATGTTCTTAGTCTGTACCAATACAGAAGAGTGTAACTAATCCTCATGCATTTCTTGTTAGATGCATCTAACTTCTAGCTTACTAACCGTGAAAAAAAGTGGGGGGGACACCACCTCCAAAACCTGCAGCTGAAATCTTTGCTCACATCCTGCAGTTACGTATAGAAGAAAGAAATGCCATACGGTGCAAACATCATGTTTCTGTTGAGGCATATCTGGTTTGGAGAACTAGGCCAATTATAAGGGTGTTTGCTCTGTCAGCTTGTCTTCTGCTGCTGTATTAAGTAGCCTTACAAATGTGATGCTACGCATTGTTTACTCTGTTTACTCATCTCTAATCCACTTTGTATGGCACTCTAATTCGGTAATACCTTTATCATTTAGTTTGTACATAGGCCTTGAGGTTCAGCCAGACCTCTGTTTTCCATCCTCTTCCCAACACTTTTAATGAGTCTTCCTAAGGCTGAGGAACTGAGCTTCAAATTTCACCATTTACTATGTACTTAATGCCATGAAAGCTGTGTTTTTAACACTTGCCTTCAAAGGGCAGCTTCTGAGTGTTGGCATCTTTCCTGGGAAAAGTAGCTGCTGTCTTACTCCTGATAATAGGCTAACCATATAAAATGAGGTAACTACTTGCAGAACAAGAAATTATCTTGTCATTCACAACTTCAGTTCGGGTACCAAAGCGGATTGATTCGGTAGGAAAAAATACAGAACTGGGGTGCAGGACAAAAGGCTAACAAAGTGAAAACATGAATGAGCAAGGCAACTATTCAGTGACTCAGGTGATTTTTGAAAAGCAACTACCTGTCAGTGGCTTTGGGTTTCCTAAAATCGCATAACTTCTCTTATAGTGGCTAACAGTAGGATGTGGTGATCCTGAGTTCAAGATAAACTGGATAGAGAGAAATAAAGAACTTCTTGAAAGGATGAGCATATGAAAACTTATGTTTTGCATCTCTGGCTTAGTCTGTAAAATGCAAATATATCCTGCCTTTTGCCTGACATCAGACTGACTTCTTTAAAATCACAAGACCGGAAAGGAGGGCAGCGGTGGGAAGGGAGAAGAGGGCAGTGCTGAGAGAAGCAAGGGGGTTGGAGAGAACAACAGAGTAATAAACCCTACTGACGTAAAGCCAATCCAGGTAATGGGATAAGATCCAAAGCAACTACATCGTCAAAATGATGGTGAAACAAATAGGTGGTCCCAGTAACTATGTTGATATCACACCTGATCTTTACACTTTTGTTGAAAAGGTTATATTCTGGAGTGGTGGCAAAATGGTGCACTTTCCCTGGATGCTGATCATGAATTTTATTGTGTTTGGGTGGCTGTCTCACTAGAAATTTCCTTTAGCTGGTCACTGGCCTTCTCTGTAGTCGTATGTCAATCTTCGGCACCAAAGATTTGGTTCTGGTTATGGTATGACAGCAGAACATCAAAGAAGCTTCTATAGTTGCTGCTAGAAGGACAAAGATTAAAATGTTGTCCACTGTTTAGTTTGTCTCTAATGAATTCCTACATTATTGTATGTACTGCTGTTAACTCCTTGATGGAAAAACTAGTACATAACCCATTACACTAGAACAGAGGGGCTCCCCACACCCTCCCCAAGTGTCACTCCAATCCTCTTCCCCTGCCTGATCTGCTTTATTCCCCAGGCTCCCTGTCCAATTTTCTGCCTTGCTTTCTGTTTCCTGCCCTATCTGCTGCTGTGCTGCATGTCCCCTACCTCATCTTCAGCATGCCACACAGGTGCTGCCCACGTACAGAGTTGGGCAACTTGTGGCTAGAGTAAACGTATAGTGATCTTTCTCACTTGACGCCAGCTTCTACAGACAATCCTTTTTGTCTTGCTGTCACACAGATACTAGAAGACAAAAGTTGCCTACTTATATGGTTCCCGTAATACCTATTGGTGGCTCTTAACCTCTGGCCTATATTGCCCACAAAGATGGCTACTCTTATGAAATGGGAAAACTAAGCCTGTTCCTATTCTTGGTGTCCATTCTATCAAAGTCACTTCCAGCACATAACAATTTCCATAGGACATCTAGCCTGTTATAGGCCCGTGCAGATCTTTGTGTATCAGTCGGTCTGTATAGGTCGACTACACAATCTTGGTTACATCATCATCTTGGGGAGGTAGCCTGCAAAAAGTACAGAATTTAAGTGATAAATCTGGCTTGTTTAACTGCTACAAACAGGTTGAAATGGAAAAGAGAAAGCTACTGCTTTAAAAACGACTACAGTAACAGGCTTCCTCATAAATAGAATTAATATTATATGTGTTCTCAAACCATGTCTTTTTATCAAAGAGGGTGACTGAGACTCTGAACATGTGATAGTCATTCCCTTTTACTCCTCAGATCAGCTGTCCTCTGGCCTTGTATAATGGGTGTAGATAACTGTGGCTGCCTGAGTGTACCACATAACAACTTTAGACATGGTTTAGGAAATGTAATGCATTAATTACTTTGAGCTCCACTCTCCCTCTCTCTGAAGTGAGTTATGCAAATAGCTGAAAGCAAAAAGAAAGGTACATAGTGCTTAAAGTGACTGTATGCTGAAAACTGATGTTAAAACAAAACTGCTTCTAAACTTGAAAGTTTCTTGCAAATTTGAGCTTGAGGCTTGACTGTATGATACTAGACCATTTTTACCAGGGGCTTTTTTTCTAGGCGGAAGACTGAACTGAGGATTCCTTTTCAGTTTCTGAACTCAGAATTGTTAAGAAACTTACTGCCCTTTTAGATGGTGTTCCTTAGCTCTAGGGCTGGATTCTCATTGTGTTCTTGCTGAATGATAACAGTTATTTTATTTATTCATATGGAATATAGCAATTGAATGACAGAATAATCTATAAACAAGTGCACTGATGGATAATACTAGTGTGACATTTTGAATTTGATATGCATTGCAAAATGTTGTCAGTAGCTTGGTGCAGGTCTTCATTGCAACCATAAAAATGATAAATAGGACATCTTCCCCCATGGTGGGTGCTATGGTTCAGATCTTTCCACGATCATGCTTGGGGTATTTAATAAAATTTCATTTGTGGTGGGTAGTTCCATCTACCTTGTCCAGTAGAAACCCTCTTCAGTGTTGTCCAGCTCTGTGTTGGTAAAGTGAAGCCAAGGGGTTTTTAATGTGGGGTCTATATGTCTGAGGGGGCTAGGTCATACTTCTAACGTGGCTCACTTCTGAAGTGATCTTTTGTCTTGGTACTAATTGAAATGAAAATAGGGTAGACTTGCACTTTGCAGAGTAACCAAAGTCAATTTACTTATAATCACAAGCTTTTGAGAGCTGAAGCTTGCTTCATCAAATTCTTAGCTTTGGACCTTTTAGAATTCCCTAGTCTAGAGATGGCCTAGATATAAAGTAGGTGCCAGGACTTTTTCTCAAATTGAGAATAAGTTTCCCTATGTAGGAGAAGAGAGAATGCAAGATAAAGGGAGTGGAAAAAGGTGTATGTGGATTTTTTTTTTTAAATTTTTTTATTTGGTGTACTGAAGGCATTGTGTTGCATGTAGTCACTTAAAATACTGTAGGTTGCAATCTTTCAAAGGTTACATTAGTGGATGCTTGATCATGAGAGAGATTTGGAAACCAAATGTCTTGAACTTTTCAAATCTTGATCCTGGTATCTTTTAAGGAAAATCTATGCAGTGATTACAAAAGGTATTTTGCCTTTGGAGGCAAAATCCTAAGGCACACTTAAGTTTAAAAGAACTGAAATTCTCTATTGAGATCTGGTAATGTGATTGACCAGGCATTTGCTTTCATATGCCTCTATATAAATGTACTTTAACCAGCCTGGTTCTAACAATCCTTAGGAGCGTGGAGGGAGGAACTATGACTCATTCTGG